GAGACCTAGCCATATTTTAAAGAAATAAGCGTGTTATCCAATATCAGCTATAATGCTAATTCATAGAATCAAAGAACTTTAGATCCAGGGTGTATGAGGGAAGTATTAGAAATTAGCTAGTTTCTTTAAGTGCATTTGTCAGAACACTGGCCTGTAGGAAAAAAGTGTTTCCCAGTCAAACAAGTTTGTGAACCGAGCATCCTGTATCTTCCTCCCCTTGAATATTCACAATGAAAAGTCAACTAGAAGTCAGCATTTCCCAGACTTATTTGACCACGGAGTCTTTTCTTCTCTAGGTAATAGCTGTTAACATCCTGCTATAGGAAATGAGTCCAGTCTCATTGTGGAGGTCCGGAAAATTGAGCCACTTAACCGGAGGCAACAGCCAGCAGTGCCAGGACGAGAACCCATTGATGGTTGATAGCCTCCCCCAGAATGGCTGCGAATTTGTATTGACAGCAATGGATCCAAAACATTCCAAGATTATTTTTTTCCCTTGAAACTTATTTTAAAAATCATTTCTAGTATAACTTAGGTTTATCCCTTAGCAGATGGAAAATGTGTCAATTGTCTCATTCAATTTGGTAGTACTCTCTATTCATATGCATCAGAAACAGAACCTGAATAGTAAGCATGGTGGGGAACTAACGGCGCAAGAGGCTCTCAGTCTGAGGGGTGGGATAGGGAGAAAGCCAGTAAGCAATTACACAAGGAGATATGTAATTACAAATTACGACACGTGCTACGAAGAAAATGAACTATGTGCTCTCAGGCTGAGCTTAAACTTGCAATCACTTTTGAATTGACCGAGATTCAGATGGGATCAATAACAGCTGTTTTTATGGTGTCTTGGTACTCAGCTCCCGCCTACAGTCTGAACCACGTAATAGCCCCTCCCCCCTTCTTGTTTTTCCAGCCGGGTGGAGCAGAATGAGAGCGCAGTGAGCCGGCCCAGCCCCTCTCCCAGCCGTCGCCGACGCCCACCATGAACCACTTGGAGGCGGCCGCGGAGGTGGAGGTGACGGACGAGGCGGCAGGCGGGGAGGTGAACGAGTCGGTGGAGGCCGACCTGGAGCACCCAGAGGTGGAGGAGGAGCAGCAGCAGCAGCATGCGGGCCGCCCCCCGCGCGGGCGCGCCGTCGAGGACCTCCGCGCCCAGCCCGGGCCGCAGCAGCAGCAGCAGCAGCAGCAGCAGCAGCAGCAGCAGCAGCAGGAGGAGGAGGAGCGCGGGGAGTGCCTGGCGCGCTCCGCCAGCACGGAGAGCGGCTTCCACAACCACACGGACACGGCCGAGGGCGACGTGATCGCCGCAGCGCGCGAGGGCTACGACTCCGAGCGCGCGCAGGACCCCGAGGACGAGAGCGCGTACGCAGTGCAGTACCGGCCCGAGGCCGAGGAGTACACGGAGCAGGCGGAGGCCGAGCACGCCGAGGCCACGCACCGCCGCGCGCTGCCCAACCACTTGCACTTCCACTCGCTGGAGCACGAGGAGGCCATGAACGCTGCCTACTCGGGCTACGTCTACACGCACCGGCTCTTCCACCGCGGCGAGGACGAGCCCTATGCCGAGCCCTACGCCGACTACGGGGGCCTCCAGGAGCACGTGTACGAGGAAATCGGGGACGCACCCGAGCTGGACGCGCGCGACGGCCTGCGGCTGTACGAGCAGGAGCGAGACGAGGCGGCCGCCTACCGCCAGGAGGCCCTGGGCGCGCGGCTGCACCACTACGACGAGCGCTCCGACGGCGAGTCCGACAGCCCCGAGAAGGAGGCCGAGTTCGCGCCCTACCCGCGCATGGACAGCTACGAGCAGGAAGAGGACATCGACCAGATCGTGGCCGAGGTCAAGCAGAGCATGAGTTCGCAGAGCCTCGACAAGGCGGCCGAGGACATGCCTGAGGCCGAGCAGGACCTGGAGCGCGCCCCCACCCCGGGCGGGGGCCGCCCGGACAGCCCCGGGCTACAGGCGCCGGCGGGGCAGCAGAGGGCGGCTGGCGGCGAGGCGGTGCAGCGGTACAGCAAGGAGAGGAGGGATGCCATCTCGCTGGCCATCAAGGACATCAAGGAGGCCATCGAGGAGGTGAAAACCAGGACCATACGCTCTCCTTATACCCCCGACGAGCCCAAAGAGCCCATCTGGGTCATGCGCCAGGACATTAGTCCCACCAGGGATTGTGACGACCAGAGGCCGGTGGATGGAGATGTAAGTGTGTGCGGGTTCAGGCCCGCTCAGCTCCACGCGCGGCCAGGAGGGGAGACGGGCGCTCGGTGGCATCGTTTGTCATTGGGAAATGACTTGATGAGAGAAACGATCTGTGGGGATGCTCAGAAACAACTTGTGCTTAAGAGCGCCTGAGTCAAACACAGGTGGGAGGGAGTTAAGTGTTGAGAGGTTGCCGTAAATCAGTGGTTCTCAAACTGTTCCTGGAGCACTTGTTCAGAAATTGATTTCCAGGCGCACCGCTTCCCATCCCCTAGTTTCCCACTTAGAAGGTATGGGGCGGGGCCTGAGAATTTGTATTTCTAACGTTAAATAAAAAAAACAGGTCTGGATTGAGTAAGGAGAGACTTTATTGGAAAGCATTATTGCAAAGGGGAAAGGTCCTATTGTAACAGGGGAAGGCGGACTGTTGCAGTAGCAGAACCTCTGTAAGATCTGCAAGCGTCTCCAGAGTTAGGCACAAAGGGGGTTCTTTTGGAGGGAGAAGTAAACAAGGCTTGGAAGAACAAGGTGTGAGGAAGTGGGATGAAGCATGGCTTGAACGCATTGCCCATGAAAGAGTGTTTTAACCTGACATCAGCCTATTCCCAGGAGGAGCTGTTGGTGTTTTAACTGACATCAGCCTATTCCCAGGAGGAGCTGTTGAGTAGGGGTGGTAAGCTGGCCAAAGTTCAGGGACCTGGAAGAAGGCGAGGAGCTTAATCAAAGGCTGGTTAATAAGCATTTTGTCTTGATTAATCAGCAGTTCAACTAACCATTTGTCAGGCAAAGAATGTAAATTTGGAGGGTCTGTGTCTGGCCTTGTCATAGGTAAACAAGGGGGCACCTGTGAGCTACTCCAGTCTAATGGGAAGGTAGGTTCTTTGCCTAAGCCATTTCCAGAACACAAAACGAGGGGAGGGGAGCCCTTAACCTTTGCTGTTTTCCAGGATCTCAGGGCTCAGGTGAAACTCAACGTTGTCACTAATAAGTTCCCAGGTGATGTTATTGCTGCTGGTCCCAGGACCATAATTTGAGAACCACTGCCTTAAAGCAACCCTTAAAAGTTTGGGATGGATAGTGTGGCCTCTGGAGGAAATCAAGGAAATCCTTCTGCCTTTCAGGAGTGTCTGCAGTTTTTTCACTGTGACTTTCAGGAAGGGCTTAGTTTTCATCTCTGGTGGTACCAGAGTGTCCTTCTCACCTCACAAAAGACATGTTTTTGAACTGAAATACACTTTCTTGTGAAGAGCTACAGAAAGCTATTGCTGCCCTGTCTGCATTTTATTTTCTTTGTTTGAAATACCTAAGAAATTTGATAACTCAGCAAGCTTGAGTGTCACCACAGTCTATTCAAAATAAATCAAGAAGGCTAACCTTTACCCCCACTACCTGGCCCTAAAGATTCTCTTTCTCCTCTGACTCTCACTTTTCCAGTCTCCTGAATAATTTTTAAGCACTTGCATTTTTTTTAAGCACTTTCATTTAAAATGCGAGCTTGGAGTAAAAGAAGGGTCAAGTGGTTAAATTCGGTTTCATTTAATTCTGCATTTTATGATTGCACCAGCCTATTTCTCGGTATATCTTTTGGAGTGAGAAACAATTATTGGAAGCTGTTTGTTCATTTTACTTAAATAGGTAAAGGGCTATGCAGGTCAGAAAGGTATCATTCGCCTGCTCTTTTAGTAACAGTCAGCATTAGCTGTTAGCTGATTAAATCGCTGGCACCTTTAAGGCAAGGTTGGAAATGGGTTGGGAAGGGATCTGCATCCTCCCAGCCAGGGGGCGGCATTGGGTCAGTTAGTTCAGCGTGCTTGGTGTCTCCCTCTGCTTTCCAGGCTTCACAGTCAAACAGTTAAAAATAGGTGCACTCACGTGCAGAATTGTCGGTGACCTCCCGCTGTCTCCAGGTTCCTTCTGGCTTGGAGGGATGGAGTGCAGCAAGTATTTTGCAAATGTAGTGGAAATGGAGCAGGTTTTTAAAAGTAGGGAGCTGTCAAGAGGCCGGGTTCTACATCCTTTTTAGAAACTTGGAAAGCCATCCGAGAAAAAGATGCAGGAGCATTCGGTCCAGATGCTGGCCTTTTCCTTCAGCTCTCTCACCTGCACCAGCTCCATGAAACTACAAGCTTAACCACCTGGTCCCTGCAGCCTCACGATGAACCCATCACCCAGCCTCCACTAGGGCTGGGGGCTTGCTTTTATCCATTTGAACTAGGAAAACAGCTTAACCCTCTTGCAAGATGTTTCATTCAGGAGGTAGAATTGATTCCGGAATATTGGGGTGATGCTTTAGAAACCCATCCAGTCAGAAATTCAACTTGACATTAAGAAATTGGTTAGTAGGGCTTTCTGGGTTATGAGTAGTTAATACAAAGCAAACCCCAAGACCTGTGCTTTAAAATATTCCACCAGTTGTCTTTAAGCCATTTGAATTTGTGGGTTGCATTTCATCTGTCATGCCACATTTATAGGAAAGACCTTCATTTGCTACCTCTTTGATGGTATCATGGGGGAAATACATACATTCTGCGGATTTCTTCCTCAGCATCAAAAAATATTTACTGAATGCTCATTCCGTGTATACTGTTGTAGAAAATGGAAAAGCACTATTAAAAGCCACGTGGCCTGAAGTCTTTCTGGAAGGTACTTGTTAAAAATACAAATTACTACCTTTCTTTTCCAAACCAGAATACCTAAGATGGGGTCCAGTGATCTGGGGTTTTGTTCATTAGGTTTGTTTTCCTTGTTTGTTTTTGTCTTGTAAATTCTCCCTGTGATTCTTGAGTATGTAAAAAATTAAGAACCACTGATTTAAAGGACAAGTATCATCTGGGTAGTTTCCCCATGTTAGCTCTATGGATTAGAGACCTAGCTAATTAGAGACCTAGACTGAAACCACAGGTGTGGTTTCATGGAAGGGGCTCTCCCACCGTCGTTTTGGTGACTGGCCTGGAAAAGGGGCCCTGGAATTCTTGTTACAGAAGCAGCGAGTTCTCAAAATAGCAACATCAGAAACCACAGTGATGCAAATAGATGGTAATAAAAACCACCTGTACTACTACTTGCCAGAGGTATCTGCTGATAGCTAAATCTGCTCTAAACACTACTTTTAATTCACTCTGAACTTTAGCATTTTTCTCATACTTGGAGGAAACTGGCATCTGTTTGCAAGTGAATCCTACAGAATGAGAAAATAGGATTGCTCTATTGAACGTAGACTAGATGCTCAGTAGTGAGTGAATATAATTGTTTTCTGAAAAAAGTATTTATAAATGCTTTGCTTCTAGTAAAGGCTCTTTTCTGGATATATGTTTGAAAACTACCACCCAGACCCCTTCTTGAAAAGTATTGTTAATGAATGACCAGTTCTGAAAAGTTCCGCAGCCTACCCGTCTCTCTTTAGGCAACAAACTCACTCTGAGTAGAGAACAGAGCGGGGGGTGGAATCAGAGAGATGGATGGGAGCAAGCACACAGCGTAATGGGAGGGTTTTGGCTACTTGGAGTGGTGTGTTGCACAGTTTGAATTGGTCTTTATCTCTGCTCCCTCTTAAAGCTACACTAAACATACATACACTAATATGTATAAAATGGATAACTAACAAGAACCTGCTGTTTAAAAATAAATAAATAAAACAAAATTCAAAAAAAAAAGCTACACTAAAATGACAGTAAAATAATAAAAACACGTAAAGCAACAATCACCAGGAGACAGAGGAAACAGCAGCAGACGAGAACAACAAAATTTTGGAACACCATAGTGGTGACTGGCTGTGGTAGACATTAGTGCCCCTCCCCCATATTGCCAGTTGTCCTCTGCTTTCAAGCCCAGGGATGACTGCACTGCACCTCCTCATACCCTAGGAGCAAGACAAGGCCAGTGAAACGGGAGCAGTGAAATGTGATGTTGCTTCTAGGCAGGAGCAGCTCAGAGCACCTTCTTCCCCTGAAGCCTCAGGTTAAGATGGTGGTGTCACCGGATGGCAGAGCCTCTGTCCGTGTGGGTCCCAAGTGACCGTGATGAGCCGGGCTCTCTCCTGCCCCTGTGGACATGTAGTGTGAGAGAGGAAGCAACCTTTGTTGTTTTAAGCCTTGGGGATTTGGGGTGGTTTGTTGCCACAGCACAGCCTGATCGATTCTCACTCATACACTGATGAGATTTCTGTGTTCCCTACTCTGTGAGGATTTGTGCCGTGGACCCCCAAGAAAGGCTAAGGAATTTGAGACACCAGATACCGCCGATGGCAGGAGTATGGCTGAAAAACAAAAGAGGATTGTTTGAAGGTGTGTCACAGGAGAAATTAGACTTCAAATCCTTTCTCCAGCCCATACCACCAAGTTTTCACTTCTCCTCTGCCCCCCACAGAAGGTGGGAGGTTTACTGTAAAGAGAGGGTGAACCAGAGAAGTGCTGGAACTAGCCACAGCTGAAAAAGTGGTTAAGGGGTACCTTATGGAACACAGGGCCCACTAAGCAGTGAGACTCTGAGAAAGCCTTGGAAATGTTAGCCATCAGGCTTAGAACCTACCCCCTCGCAGCCCCCAGCCCCAGCCGGAGATTAGGACATTCCTCTCTGAGGAAACAGAAAGACACAAGAGTAGGTACCTACAGTTACTCATGTTTGGGGCTTTTCCAGCATAAAATCTGGTTCCCTACCTGATCACCACGCAATGAAGGTTACTGCTGCTCATGTATCTTCCAACAGGCTTTTTGGAACCCACTGTTAAATATGAGTGGATATCCAAGGATCTCCGGACATTTGACGAAGATCTCTTAACATGAAAGACAAAGACGCATAAAAAGCAAATGGAAAAGGAACTTGGAGAAATAAAGGCAGTACTCAGAGCAGGAAAAAACTATAAAACACTCATCAAAATTCTCAGAAGGGTAGGAGAAGATAGGGGAGCCACTAAATTAGGATGCCATTTTAAGAAAAGAACATTCCAAAAAAAATTTTTTTACATCTTTATTGGAGTATAATTGCTTTACAATGGTGTGTTA